TTCTGGGCAATAATCTCTATCTGTATTGTGTTTTACAGTTTCTAATACAGTCTCACTTATCTTTTCTACCATGAATTAGGTTTCAATTCTGCCATCATTTTTTTTAGGGTGGGGGAAGAAGGTACATTAAGGTTAGTGAGTGGCTTAATGTCACTCAATTATTGAAGATGGGCTGTGAATCTGATTCTTCTGCCTCTGCATACCTGAGGCAGACAGGCTTTAATAATTCTATCATCCTAAATGTAATCATTTCTTAAAATAGTTGGACTAAAATATTTTTCATCATAAAAGAATGTTAATGTTTTGTAGCGTTCATTTAATTTGTAGGGTCTACTAACCAACTACTAATGATGACACATGGCACATAGTTCCTTTGAAACCCTCAAAAGATGATAAAATGACATTTTTTTCCCTGAGGAATAATAGAACGATTGGTCAATAAAATGTCCAATGAAGTTTTCTTAAAAATCATCTGAACTTTTCCTTGAAATAATCTGAATTTTCTTCCTATTATTACTGGAAAATTTACTAATTGGAAATGTTTAACTAATTTAGAAGTATGAATATAAAGAAAAACATTACAGTCTGGATTAGTGAAATAGAGGTACACATTTAAACCTTTTTTTTTTGCCAGTACATGGGTTTCATCTCAGGGCGTCAGGCTTTCTCAGTTTGCTTGGCTTGTACTCTACCACTTGCTCCACAAAATCTCGTTTGGCTTTCTGCTGGTTATTTTTGGAGATGATGTCTTCTCAAGCTGGCTTTGAATCTAGATGCTTTAGATCTCAGCTTCCTGAGTAGCTAGAATTACAGGCATGACTTACTGGTTTCTGATTGCCCTTAAAATTCTAAGAACTATTTTTCTGGAGCCATAGAGAATGTCTTTATTTTTAGTTTCCTAAACAATAATGGTACTAAAGAAAGTCTAACTCAAGAATAGGGTAACCGCACCCAAGTCCTGGTTCTGCTGCTGTTCAGATGGGTGACTTTGGAAAATTATTTAGTCAGAGTGTCAGGCTGGATTAATAATTTTTAACTGTGAATGTATGTAAAAGTTTTGGAGGGATTTTTTTCCCTCCCCCAAATAAACCTGTTCGAAGTGTCTCTGCAGATATTTTGAAATGTCTATGGGATCAGCAGGAAAAGGTAGATGCAAAGTTAGCTGGGAACTTGAGTTTGGCCATGTGTGTTTAAAACAGTAGTAGGGATAGGGCTGAGGAAGATGATGCAATGAACTGAAATATGGTGATAGGTACATGAGGTTCATTATATTATTCTCTCTACTTTTATAGGGGAAAATTCCAAATAATTCTAACAGAGCTGTCAGAGAGCAGTGTTCTTAAACTTAAATGTCTCAAGCAAGTCACTTATATGTCCCATTGAATGCTTGTTCTGAGTTAGTAGTTCAGGGAATTATGAGCTTCCAACCAGACATTCTAACAAGTTCTCAGGTGGTGATGATTCAACTGTGCTTTGGACCACATTTGACAACCAAGGAGTAAGAAAAATGAGAAACAGGTCTGGAAGTGTGGCTCAGGTAGGGATTCAGTCTAATAAGCACAGAGCCTTAAGTTCAAACCCTAGTAATACAAAGTAAAATAAAACAAAACAAAACCCATGGGACTCGATAGATGCTAACCAAAATCCCTTATTTCCTAAGCAGGTTCTAGGACTGAATTTACTAAAAAAAATACAGCAAATCACATTATTTCTATTAATCTGTAAGAATAAGAAAGATTGTCCATTATCATGCTTGAAAAACATTGCCCAAACAGTCAGTCGAGACATTTGTGAAAAAAGTGCCTAGATTATGATGTAAAGCAAGACTTGAGACAATTTAAATAATATCTACTATCCAACAGATCAAGTGTTTACATATTAAGAAGAGCTTTGTACCAGAACTGTACTGTCATGTTTCTGCCTGGAGGCTGTCAAGATAAAGTTTATTATCAATTACTGCTTTACAAGTATAAAATAAGTTAAGCTGTCATAATTTTCTAAGCTAGAGATCCTAAACTGTCAAAGAATGTCAATTTTTAATATGACACAGAGAAGAAAATTATCTGTTATTCTGACCCCTAATTTCTTGACATTTTAATGCTGTAATTGCTGCGGTTAGTGCTGCTCTGTGATTTCACCTGTCAAGAAAGAATGAATCAATAACCTTAAGCCATTTCTCAGATTTTAGCACTAACTTCAAAGCTCAAAGTTAAAGGCAGATTGGAGAAATTTTTAAACAAGGGAACATATGTAGATGTTTAAATATTAAATATTTCTTTTTTAAACCTGCATTTGAACACTAAAAAAAATCTTCCCTTGGCTAGCTGGCATTTAATATTAGACAATTATAATCTTCCTTTAGTTTTACTCATGTGATCTTTGTACTTAAAAAAATAACTAAGATAACCATTCTAAATAAAGGGAATACATGCAGCTAAACAAAAGGGTTGACATTTTGAGTTGTGGTCTCTGCAGGAGCCTGTGTTCAATGATCCAGAGGAAGCTTAACTCTCATGTCAGAGTACGCTACAGAAGATCTCCAGGAAATTGAACATGGATGACTTAAAGACAGGTATTGTGCTTTCCAGAGGGTTTACTCACAGGAGCAATGAATTGGTAGGGGAACCTAAGTGGGCACCAAATAGTGAGCATGCTATACTTCATCCCACTCATCTGTAGATTTCTTTTTTGTGACAATAGAAGCCAATTGGTCTTATGTTAAGCAACATATGTGTTGCCCTTTGTAGAGTGAGCAATTAAAGCAGAGTGAGATTCAATGACTTGACCATCTTCAACGAGCTTGCAGGATCCAGGTGTATGCTAATCCATTGAGGAGGATATTGTTTCTCAAGCTCTTAATTGTTAGTGCAGAAAATATATTAGCTGAGAGATGGGAGGTATAGTCTTCCGGGTATGGATTCCCTCACATCTAATATTCTTATGCTGAGATCAGGTATATAGGTAATGATTGGGGTAACAACATATATATATATATATATATATATGTATGGTATATATATGTATGTATGTATGTATATATATATATATACATACATACATACATATATATACCAAAGTGTAATTTTGGAATCTAGTCAACTTTAGTATCTGGCAAATATGTATTCAGAATGAGAATGCTAGAAGGGTCTCCTGAGGTAAACAGCCTAGTTAGCTAACTCAGGCAGTGTATCACTCTGAGGTAATAATAGTCTATAAAATATTGTTTAGAGCATCTATATAATAAGCAAACATGTAACTAGACACCTTTCATACAACAAAAATAAAAAGATACATATTTTATGCAGTTTTATTTAGGAAGTGTTACAACTTGATGATTAAGGGCAATGAATACCTGGCTTTTTCACTGTTCAAAGTAATGGTTGCTATTTATTAGTACATATTTTTTAATAGGGTTCAAACTACATATAATATATTTATGTAAAGAAGGTCTCGATTCTAATTCTTACTTCATTTATTCTTTCATCTATTACTTAATATTTACTTACATTTGAAAACCTTCTATTTTTCTGTCAATTTAAATCTGCCTTGTATGTTCATCATCCCTAAGCCTCAATATATTTGCATTTTGCCAAACAGATTAACATATAACTTTCCCTATAAGAACTGAATATTATAATGGATAAAAATGTATAATAAAATACTCAGGATCAAAATTGTCTATGAGCTTTAAAAGTAAAAAGACACAGTAAAACAAGAACACTTAAAATGAAACAAAACAAAAAACCCCAGTTTGGACCTCGTCTTGGAATGCCAGAGTTGTGTTATTCAAACTATGCTTTTTTCTGACTCTAGGAGAAGATCTTAGTTCTGAAAGAAGAATTTAGTTGTAAGGAATTTATATAACAGGCAAAGGTGTACAGTAAAAAGAATATGCTAAGGATTACCTCCTACCAAATAATTTGATTACTATTTATATACAATGGAAAGTTCAAAGTTAGATGAGTATAATGGTAAATGGAGAAAATTCTTTATTGCACCTACCAAATTCATAATACCTTGTTTTTTTAACCAACTTCATTCGTTTTGTATCTCTAATTTCATTTCTTTGTGCCCATGACATGGTAGTGTTGCCTCTAATAACATGTTTGTAATGTGTTCTTTGAGTATTCACCCTGAGTCCAATGAAATGCTTCCCTTCACTCTCCTCTTCTCTGCTTAGTGGCATATAAATAGAATAATTTTGGTTTAATAGAGGTATATGAGAAGTATCTTTATGGATTTTTTAAAAAACCTAGAGTTCATTTCCCAAACTACACATTTTCTACTTCCAAAGTTAAAATAAAAACAAGACATTCTATTTCCCGGAGACCTAGCAATGATGACTTGTTTTGCATACAGCAGATGGCATATATTGGGGGGATGAAGGCTAGTGTATAGCTTCCTTGCAGCAATACTTTATGTAGCAGCTGTTGCATCTTTGCTCTTTCTACATATCTGAAACCAGTTTATGCAAAGGAGTAGTGATTTAAATAATATTTTATATGAATGTTTTCAAACATACTTACATAATTCTCAACTATAAACATTTCAGGATGAGAACATATGGGAATAAAATATTGTAATTGCATCTCTTTCATGGATACATTTTCTTTAATGTTATGTTTCGAATGGTGCTGTTTTGCTTTTATTTAAAAAACACTCGCAGATTATTTTTATGTGAATTATTCATATTTAGTTATTCATCGAGGTCTAATTTATTATAACACAATGCATTAGACATTTTAATGAAGATTCTGAAGTAAAATAAAATGATGATACAGAAGTGCACTGCACATGCCTACAATCCAAGAGAAACAATGTGCTGGCCTCATTACTTGCATCTGAACATATATTCCTTTTTTTCACATTTGTCAAGAACTTGAAATCTGTGCAGTCCAGAGCTATGGTGAAAGGAGATTTACATAAAAAGAGAAGGAAAGTCAAATTTGTGTGTGAGTGATGTCAGACATTTTTGGAAGAATATGAAACTTCACACCTACCTCCCTGAGCACAGGATCAGTGATGCTGTCCAGATTCACAGAGCCTTCATAGGTCAAGTAGTGGAAAACGTTCAGAGCACGAACAGCTTCTGGTCCTCTCTGTTTGTAGCCAAATATCAGGTCAATCCACTGGTGGAGTTGGCAAGAGACAAACTCACTTTCTAGGGCCTAAAATAAAGCCAGAAGAAATGAGAGTCTATCCAAACTTAGCAAAGCTCCATAGTTTTTTCTTATAGTGAAATATTTTTGGATAAAAAGGAGAACATACTCTTTACATTCCCATTTGATTTATCTGAATTAGGCCTTCAGTTCCTAGTTAGTACATTACTAACTTTCAATTATGTTTTATAAGCCAAAGACCTAAATGAAATTAAAAAAATTTTAAAGTGCTTACTTTTCCATGGTTCTATTATGTATACAATATAGATTTTATATTAAAATAGTTTCAAAAACATACTCATGTTTAAAACAGTAATTTGACATAGCTATTTTAATGTCATTTTAAAATAATCTCATTTCTAATTTTTCAGTGTTCCTTTAAAATTAAAAGAATTTTATAAATCCCTTTGAAATGAATCTATTTTCTTGTCTAAATCTCTCTAGCTCACCTCTAAGAAGACTACAAAAATGGAATGCTTTCTTCTGCTGCGAATTAGTTTCGTTATTTTGGAGCCTGGGAATCACTGGAAAATCATTTGAGATATTTACTAGCAAGTGAGAAAAAAATGGAAATTATGGAGGCAGTGACCATGCAGAGTTTCTATAAAGAGTCAGAAGAAAGAAGTCCTTGTCTTTTCTAAGAAGCTACCAGAAGAATCTGAGAGAAATCTTGACAGGTAAGGAGATTTTAAACAGAATTTCTGTAATCTGTAGCTCAATAACTTTAAAATAACTTTTCAGAAAAGAATATAAGAAATGAGACAAAAATACATCCAAGGAGACATTAGTTATAATTCTATATTGGTTAAGTTTGTGTTTATCATTTGTACAAATAATTCTGTTGTTTCAGTGAAACTACTCAATTAAGAAAAAACTCAATATGTTTATTAGTAAGAGTAGCAGTGGATGGGATTAAAAGATTAAAAAGTGAAGATATGTAGACTCATTATCCAATGGTTCTGAAATTATGATTTAAAGAAAGATTTTTACCTCCATGGTGTCTAAATCAGTAACCATTTAAAATAAACATTGTGGATACCACAAAAAAGGATTGGTACATTTATTATTATTTTATTAGACAAAATGATTGTTGAATAAAATGCTTATCATGAAGACTTCACTAATTTGAAATTTTAAAAGGTGTTTAGTCCTTTTTTTAATCTCAACACCCTCTTTATCTCTCTTTTTTGCCAAAGAGATTATTACGTGCTTAATGTTTCTCCTTTTGTTCTTATAAAGCACTACTCATTTTGTGCATGGACACATCACATATGTTTGTGACCTATAAACATGGTCTAGTGTTCATGGTCTAGTTCATGTTCCTTAATTTTTCATTTAGCATTGCTTTCAAGATCAACCTACTGCCACCATGTATGGAGTTAGTCCATTGCTCCTCATGGCTGCACAAGGCCCCCCCCAGAAGCTAACACCTTGTTACCTCTAACTCTTGGTGACATAGGCTGTTTCTTCCCCTGGCTTCTTTATTTGTGAGAATTCCTTTGTGATTTATTTATTTATTTTTGGGTCTGGTCGTGGGGCCTGAACTCTGGGCCTGGGCGCTGTCCCTCAGCTCTTCAGCTCAAGGCTAGCGCTCTACCACTTGAGCCACAGCACCACTTCCGGCTTTTTTTCTTTTTGCTTATGTGGTGCTGGGGAATCTAACCCAGGGCCTCATGCATGCAAGCGCAAGTGCTCTACCACTGAGCCACCTTCCCAGCCCTTCCTTTGTGATTTATGATGTGGAGTGGGACTTCCGCATCCCTGCACTGGTGTATGTACACTCCACATCATTAGTTCTCAGCTTCCCTTCAGAGGACTGCCTTGTCCCCTCTTCCTCCACTGGGCACATGTGTCCACATCTCCACTGGCTCCTTATATTATCCGGGTTTCAACTATTGGTTAGTGTAACAGAAACATTGTTTTACTCTGTATTCCTGTTTATTGCTAGTAAGTTTGGCATCATATTAAAGATGCTTGCTGGTCGTTAGAATTTCCTTTTCTATAAATCCTGTTCATATCTCTACACATTTTTTTAAATGAAAGTTTTTGTCTTTATGTTGTTGACTTGTGAAAGTTCTCTAAATATTTTAAGCAACAGGGCTGGGAAGGTGGCTCAGTGGTACAGTGCTTGTCTTGTATACATAAGGCCCTGGGTTTGATTCCTCAGTACTACATAAGCAAAAAAAGTTGGCACTGCAGCTCAACTGGTAGAGCATTAGCCTTGAGCTGAAGAGCTGAGGGACAGTGCTCAGGCCCAGAGTTCAAGCTCCACAACCACAAAAATAAAATAAAATAAAATAAAAAATTAAGCAACACAATCACATGTGTATTAACTTTACCCACATTCTTTATCAAATACCAATTTCTAATAACTTAATGCATTTTAAAATAGTTATGCTCTTAAGGTTTCTGATGTGACAAGACAGCTTTCTATATTTTCCTTCATTAGCTTTACATTTGTGGGTTGATTTTCCACATTTTAATCCATCTAAAATCTACTACTTGCAAGCACATGTAGTAGAAGTACAAAGTATTACTTTTTATGTAGTAATACATGACCAATAACCATGTGATTTATATTTTAATATTGCAAACTAAATACACTCCTCCAGGATGATGTATTGGTGTCATCTTTCTATTTAAATATATATTACAGACTCAAGAAGCTGAGATCCAAGGATCACAATTCAAAGCCAACTCAAGCAGGCAAATCCATAAGACCCTTATCTTCAATTGACAAGAAAAAAAAAGTGAAGGTATGGTTCATGTGGTAGAGTGTCAGCTATGAGTGAAAAAGCCAAACAAGAGTATGAGGCCCTGAGTTCAAGCAGAGAGAGACAGAGGGAGGGAGGCAGGGAGGGAGAGACAGATGGGGGGAAAGAGAGAGAGAGGGAGAGAGAGGAGAGAGATGAATATATAATCTTTTGAAATTCCTGGCAGGATTTACATAAAACCTAATATAGGCTGTAAATTTTCTAGGGTTATAGGAAAATTTTACTGAATTGCTTGAAGGCTCATAAAAGTCTCTATTTTGGCATTAAAAAAAAAACATTTTGCCCAGTATTTGTCCATTTCATCTCAATGTTAAAATTGCTTAGTTCATAACAAACTTTAATAAAAACCTGTACTTTTTGTATTATACATACATATATTTACTATTGCATATATTAATACAATATAGGCTATATATTAGAGGTAGGGTGGTAAACTGATAATTGTAGGTAAATCTCTATAATTTTTCTTTTTTCTTGTACAATTAAATGACAAAAAAATAAGGAGCTAACCGAATAAAGTCTCAGAATTTTTGTCCTGCTAGTCTTGTGCAGAGAAAAAGAAAATCTAGTTTGGAACATTTAAAAGCTAAATATGGTTCTAAGTCAAATACATATCTAAAAACTGAATATCAGCTCTCACATAATTACAGTATAAAATGCTGAATCCTGACACAAGGGTTCTTTAGCATAAACAGTACTAGTCTGTTACTAAATACATGATAGGTACTCATTTGTTCTGTTTTAGAGGTGTGTTTTCATAAACAAATACATTTTGGACTTGATTCTAGTATAATACTTACAATTGAAAAATATAAAGATTACTTGACTGCTAAGCTATTACTGTTATAATGGTCTAATAGATTTCTTTACCATCTACTTGCATATCTAAAGGCAGAAGCAATTGCTTTAAGCCTAGATAAACCAATTCCCAATTCATAACTCTCTACCCCGGGGATCTTGAGGAAGGAAGTAAAGACTGATACTAAAACCAGAGAGGGTTATCTCTGAGATGGATAATACTTCTCTAATTCTAATTTCCATTTTCTCCTATGGGATTAGATGGTAGAGAATTCTTTCTCTAATAGATTAGGGATAAAATCTTTCTTAAAATTTATGGAAAAAGAATATTAGGCTACTGACATGAACTTTGAGGAAAGAATATTTATTCTTCCTGAATTCTTTGTGCGTTTTGAATTTGTATCTCTTCTAGACCAGAATAATATTTTCATCCTCTTCTCTATTACCTGAAAACTCTGCTTTCAGAAATAAAACATATCCAAGTAGAGTTGCATGTATTCAAGTAAAAAATCAAAAATCATATTTGTACCTTTGTAGTGTCTATGCTTGCTTTTTATCATGATTAAGATGAATTTCTGTCATTATAACTTCAGTCATGCAATAGTTTTAAATTTAAAAAATACTGTTATAAATGTTTATGGGGAGGGCATTAATTTATTCCATACTTGATGGATTACTGTATATAGAATACACAAGGTTATTTCATCTCAATTCTCTCTGCTGTCCAACTGAGCAATAGAATTGGATCTGTTCCTCTAATCTTGTACCCTGTTGATAGAGAGCAGCCTTCTGAAGCCACCATAATCACTCACATTGTGTCCTCTATTTCATACTCATCACAGCTCTTCCCAACCTAACACATTCACCATAAACCCCACTAAACCTCACAGGATGCTACCTCCTTCTGTGCCACATAGCTTCCTAATACACATACTGAACCAGGGAGAACAGGCAGTCACAGCACTGGAGCACACAGCAATTGGTGTCACCTAGCACCTTGACTGCTCCTTCTCCGTAACATTGAAACAGTTCATTCTCATGTGCATTTCTGAAGGCATGACCATACTTCTTTCTCTTTCTTTCTTTTCTTTCTTTCTTTCTTTCTTTCTTTCTTTCTTTCTTTCTTTCTTTCTTTCTTTCTTTCTTTCTTTCTTTCTTTCTTTCTTTCTTTCTCTTTCTTTCTTTCCTTCTTTTTCTTTTTTTCTTTCTCTCTCTTTCTTTCTTTCTTTCTCGCTCCCTTCTTCCTCCCCCTCCTTCCTTCTCTCCCTCTTTCCCTCCCCCCCTCCCTCTGTTGGTCATGGAGCTTGAAATCTGGACCTGGGCACTGAGCTCTTCAGCTCAATGCTAGCCCTCTACCACTTTGAGCCACAGCACCACTTCTAGTTTTGTGGCAGTTAATTGGAGGTAAGAGACTCACAGACTCTCCTGCCTCTGATGGATTTCAACTGCAATCCTCAAATGTCAGCCTCCTGAGTAACTAGGATTACAGACATGAGCCACCAGCACTCGGCATGCCATACTTATTCAGGCCTAGTATCTGCTTTCTGAGATTTCTGTTAACATTTGTCTTTTGTCCTAGAAGTGTCTGCAATGTTCTTCATAATCATCGTTTTGTCACTTAACACAGTAGGATAATGCACACAAACTCTGTAAAACCAGTTTGCATACAAACCAGACAGTTCTACACAGAGAATGGGTTTACAGTACTACTTATTAGCACTTCACTGCTTCAAAGTGCAATGTGAATCTTCTCCTAGAGAGTAAGGCAGTGTTCTGTGGCCCAGAAATACTGAGACAAAGGCTTTTAAAATCTCTAATCAGAGATTAATGCTGTCTGATCTCTTTTCCGCTCTAAATTACCAACTACCTACTATAAGTTAGACACAACTATGGAGGATACACAAATAAATAAGCACTCTCTGTCTTCAAAAAGATCAATCTAGTGGGGATAAATGTCTTGATTTTGGGTTTTCCTGTGGCTTAGAAATTCTGTGATAATGCAACTTGACAACAGGCAACTCCCACCCCCCTCCTACATTTTAGTTGCTAGTGCAAAATGGAAATCTGAGGGGAAAAGTTCACTGGTAGGCAGTCATAAGTCCAGCTTTCAAGTACATCCAGAATGGATAAATTTTCTTATGACCTTCACTGTTGCTCCCCAAAGAAATCTACCACCATCTCTCTTTAACAGATTCTTGTGCTTTGATCATTCATTGGTCAACACTGATATCAGTGTGATCCCTTAGAAATTTACATGATATCATTTTACTCTTCTGCTCAAAACACTGATGACTCTCCATGTTACTCAGGGTAATTAAGAGCACAGGAGAGATTGGAGTGTATTCACTTCTTTTATCTTGCATCTCAGTATTCCTGGGCTAAAGAACACCGCCTTACTCTCTAGGAGAAGATTCACATTGCACTTTCGAAGAAGTGATGTGCTAATTAGTAAACCCATTCCGTGTGTTGCACTGTCTGGTTTTACAGAATTGCTATGCATTATCTTAGTGTTAAGTGACAGGCTTAATAGTCTTAGTATCCCAGGTAATGAGCCTCTCCATTGCTGCTCAGTGCTCTTCTTCTATATACTTACATGTCCACTCTACCTTGGCCTACCCACTGCCTACTCACAGTATCATCTCTGCTGGCAGTGCTTTTTCCCAACAGAGTCCCTTGGCTCACTCCCTCACCTCCAGGCCTTTGCTCAAATTTCACCTTCAAAGGGAAGCTTCCTGACCCACCTCCCTGCATTCCTGATCTCCTTACCTAGAACAACCTCCTATTCTGAAGAGTATGACCACCTTCTAACACACTAAACCTTCTTCTTATTTATTTATTGCTTCTGTCTTCTTTCTCCTCGACTTGGCACGCACTCTCTCTCTCTCTCTCTCTCATACCCCCCTCTCTCTGAAAGTACTGAGAATTGAATTCAGGGACTCCTGCTTGTCCAGCTTGCTCTTTCAGGTGGTACTCTGCCACTTGAGCCATTCTTCCAGCTTGCCTTTTTGTTGCTCATTTTGGAGGTGGAATCTCATAGACTTTTATGCCTGAGCTTACTTCTAACTGTAATTTTCTGGATTTTTTTTTAAAAAAGCACTAAGTAGTTGTATAAAGGGCTTGTAGATCATCAATATCAGTTTGTGAGTATACTGCATCTTGTCACCACTTTCATCATTGTGAATAACTGGCATTATAGGTGTGGGCCATCAGCACCTGGCTAACCTAGTGTCTATAACCTCAACAAGAGCAGAGATCCTTGCTTGTTTACTGATGTTCCTCAAGCATGAGAAACAGTGCATGGAACCCTCAGTAGTTGCCTGTCAAACTGAATGAAGTTTATCACTGCTTTTTTTTCTTTTGGTGAGATCCTGGGGTTTTAATTCAGGGCTTGGCACTGTTGCTCAGTGTTTGTGTTCAAGACTAGTACTCTACCACTTGAGCCAAAGATCTATTTTGTGTTTTGGGTGGTTACTTAGAGATAAGAATCTCTTGGGTTTCCTTGTCTAGGGAGCTTTGAACTATGATCTCCAGTTCTCAGCTTTCTAAGTAACAAGGATTACAGACAAAAGTCATACGTGCCTGCTTCAGTGCTCTTTTTATAGCAAGGTAGCTGTTTTATGGGGGAAAAAACCTGGGAATATATCCTAAATTCAAACTGTTACCTATTGTAAATAGTCCTTTACTTTAAAATATGAAAATTTTGTAAAAGATACATGTCAGTGAAAAGAAGGGCACATGGGCTTGAATTTCAGGCACATGATACATTTTATCTAAAAGCTTTAGGAATCTGCTGGTCTGGGGGCTATATGAGATTGTCAGTACATATCGCTAAAAGGCCTTTTTCTTAAACAAATTTTACAAAGGCCGATTATGATTGATGAACCTAGCATTAGGGTAATGTTATCAGAGATACTTTCTATTTCTGCCCTTTGTGGGGAGGTCAGATTATAATCATGTTAGAACTGAACCAATCCCCACACAATGCTTTATTCATGTTTCAGGAGTAAGCCACTCATAATAAGCCTAGCTGTTTGAGGATAAATTAAACCAATTCTTGATGTATAAACTCAATACACATAGAATTTAGTAAAACGTCTGCTAAAGGTGACTATATAATTTTTCCATGTTTTCTAATGAGGCTAAAATTTGAATTTTATACTTCTTCAGTGAAATAATTAATTTTCATCATTGTATTTATAAAGCATAGACCATTCTAATCCTTTCTACATGCTGCTGTCCACAATTTAAGCAACAATACAAATATCACCAATGTACTGAAGAAATGCATCATTCAAAAAACCCAACTTATTTGGCTAGGGGTAAATATTATCAAAGTACATTATACACATGCATGAAAACATCTTAATGAAAATCAACATTCTGTATCATTAATAGGTAGTAATGATTTTAAAAAATCAAAGTACTATTTCATTTTTTAAAAATTAGCATAGGAAATTAGTTTGTAGACACACAAAGGCTGTTAACAACGTCTCAAACACCTGATCAGTTGTTGGCATGGGATAATGAACCGGAACATTTAGAAGTCAATGATATCATCCCTTTCATATTATTTTGTCTTTTTTGCCTTGAATTTCTTAACGACAGCTTGAAAGAAGAAGGAGGGGTGCTCACGGATACAGAATACTAATCTGTACAAAGAGATGAAGGCTTTTTACCATTGTGAATGTCATTTCTTTGAGATATTTGACATTTTCATTTTACACTTTAGGCTCATTATAAAGAACTCCTGCAAATCACTGAAGATAATCCCAGTCCAAATTATAAATATACCAGAGCAAATTTTCTCTAAACCTATTTAGAAGAACTAAATCCTACACAAACTCCCAGCCAGTAAAAGGTAGAAAGGTTTAATGTTACAGAACAGCATCTAAAAATGGTGGTTATATTCATGGAATTTATGGATAATTCAGATACTTTTATATTGTGTTTTAAATTTATGCATTGGCATTGTGCATTAGAAATACATGCCAAAAATTTCCTTCAAGAAAAAGCAAAGTATGTAGCTTACTGGTTACATATTTCCTGGTCTGGCACAGATGTCTGTTTTTCCTTCATAAGATCGGTAAGACTGCTGACCCCATCAGCAGTATGGGAAAACTGACTAAAAGCGGGAGGCAGGAATTTCTGCCCTGAATAACTTCAAGTTCAAGAAACATTAAGAGTAGCATCTCAGGAGACATGGCCACATTGGATGAGCTGTCTTTCCACAGCTTTGCAGCCATGGCTGTTCCCAGAGGCAGCATACTGGGTTTGTCCTTTAACTGTAACTCTGAAGCAAACAAAGACTGTCAAGACACAGTATCCTGCTGATACATAGGGAGTTTTCCATTTTAGTCCTGTAGGGACCCTCCTAGGAAGATCCAGCTGAAGACAGAAAGGAGAAATGCTTCTGATGTCACCTCTAAGTTCCAGGCTATTTCCTGTATACCATCTACTTAACCTGGCACTGGTTTTGGTGATACAGACAGCCAAGGCATGGACAGTATAGTTTCTCTAAACACTACCTCAGGTCGTCTTTCAATCCATTGAGCAAAGACTTAGTTCATAAGTCTTTCTCTATTCACTAATGAGATAACAGGATTTGGTTCAGAATAGAGCAAGACCCCAGTGCCTGGTTCCTTTCATTGCTTCATGAGTACAAGCTGAAACCTAATACTTAAAACAGAACTATAGAATATTGAAATTTCTGATGATTGCTTGAGTCAAGACAAAAATCTTTCTTACCATTCTGTTTATGCGTACAAAATCTTCAGGTTTTTTTGCCCAAGGAGGAAGATCAACATCGTTTACCACTACTTCATCTTCTCGAACACCAAGATGGTAGCCATTACTGTTGACAAACATCTCAGGTAGGTAGTAAAACTCTGGAATTAATTCCTGTTATGAATAAAAGGTAACAAATTTAATGACAATATAAAATCATTGAATAAAATTATTAGCTTTTAACTTACTAAATGGTATAAAACACTTTCTTCACCTAAAACCAATATTTTAGTTCACCTATTCTTTTACTTAATTTTTCAAACTTTGAGTCTGAGAAGCTGAAATATTTCTCTTAAATAATTGGCTTGAAAATTTACAAAAGCACTATTTTAAAGTATTACCCATTTTGATCTTCGCTGGCCTCAAATTAATATAGATACATTTCACAATTAGCATTAGTAATCAAATATGTAAAATGATACCAACAAGTCTGTATTGCTTAAGCACCTTTTCTGAATGTTAATCAATTCAAGTTCTAAAAAGTTGTTGACACTATTTACTAAACATCATACAATATTTTCTCTTTTCCCTTTTTAATATACTAGTAATTACACTACAATATATTTATGAAATGCTCAAAATTTTTTTTAAAAAGCACAAAGTTTTGACTTGATGAAAAAAGTTTTGACTTGATGAAAAAAGTTTTGTACCAATTGCTGGCTTGAACTCAGGGTCTGGGTGTTGTCCTAAGCTTTTTATTCAAGGTTACTACTCTGCCACTTGAGACACAGATCCACTTCCAGCATTTATGTTGGCTAATTGGAAATAAGAGTCTCATAGACTTTTCTGCTGCTCTGGCTGGCTTCAAACTGCAATCCTAAAATCTCAGCCTTCTGAGTAGCTAGAATTACAGGTGTGATCTACCCACACCTCTGACAAGTTTTTCTTCAGGGCCTCATGCATGCTAAGCACTCTACTACTTTACTACTGTTTTCAAATAAATTATTTTTATACCTCCTACTGAACACAATAAAAAGAACATCATGTTACCATTAGTTGTAAATATTTAATATATGCCACTGAAATATAGCCTAGTAATAAATTCGATGTAAAGACAAATTGTTTTACTTATACAGCTAAGTATGATATAACCAACTTGCATGTATTTTGCCTAATGTCTAGTAATGAGGCTAATATACTTCAGAATAAATCTGAAAGAGGAAAACTGATGTTTAGAAAGAAAAATTAGAAAGAATGGTATTGTACCATTTGAAAAGAAATGAAAACACCTGGAAAAATTATGTTAAGTGAAGTAAATCAGTCCCAGAGAGACAAAAGGCACATGCTTTCCTTTATATTTGGAAGCTAGATTTAGCTTATAAATTTGTAATTAAATATGTTTGGTAGTATGCAAGTATATAAAAATGAATTAACTGAATTACAGTAGATGCAAGGGAGAATTCTAACAATGTAATTCCAAAGTCCAAAGTTCAACAAAATAAACACAAGGAAATTGATACTTAGAAAGGGGTGGGATAGGGTTAAGGGGAGAGAGAGAGCTGGATGAAGAAGGGAGAATACAGACAATAATCCAATGTATAGTCTACTAAATTAAGGAGGGTGAAGGGAAAGGTAGGTAGGGAAGGATAGGTGAAAATGTTGAAATGGGTGACACTGATCAAGATGCACTGTATCCATAAACTGCTTCATTAAATGGCAACTCCTTTGTACAACTACTTAAAGAAAACAAAAAGATCATAAAAGTTTTTAGTGTTCTTTTTTTTTTGTAAATGAGAGAAAATGAAAAATAACATGAAACATGAAAAAAATTGTCAGAGGGGTGTGGGTGGATCACACTTATAATCCTAGTTTTGTGCATACCATTTATGCCATCCTTTCCCAAATTTCAAAACTTTGAATTATATGCTGAATAAAATAATACATTTATTTGTGTAACTTGATTAGTACTGACAGAATCGTACCTGAACTTTGAATCTTACTGTAATCTCTAAAGAGATGTATATAAAAAATTAAAGTTATCAGATTTTTGGGCTCTTAAATGTATTTGGCTCTTAATTTTCTAAGAAAAGTAAATGGAGGGCTGGATGGTGGCTCAGTGGAAAAGTGCTTGCCATGCATGCCTGAGGCCCTGGGCTTGATTCCTCAGCACCACATAAGCAGAAAAAGCCAGAAATGGGCGGTGGTAGAGCTCTTGCCTTGAGCTGAAGAGCTGAGGGACAGTGCTCAGGCCCAGAGTTCAGGCCCCACAACCAACAACAGAAAGAAAGGAAGAAAGGAAGAAAGAAAGAGAGAGAGAAAGAAAGAAAGAAAGAAAGAAAGAAAGAAAGAAAGAAAGAAAGAAAGAAAGAAAGAAAGAAAAAGAAAAGAGAGAGAGAGGGAGGGAGGAAGGGAGCAAGGAAGGAAGGAAGGAAGGAAAGAAAGAAAAGCATATGGAAAGCTCTAGCTTCACAGTTCTGCTACTAAAAATAATGTACTTGTCCCAGCGAAAGTGAGTGCTTATAGTAATACTCTGTGTGCATATGATCTTGATACAATCATTGTGAGCTATAGCAAAATCCTTGACATTTGTTTATTCATCTAATAAAGGTTTGAGTTCTGGAAACTATGCTGGATATTGAGAAAATAATGGAAAAGACATAGCCTTGTCATGTCTATATGTTCTACATGGCTGATGTATCCATAAATGGCTATAATGCACAACCATAATACCTGTGAAAGAAAGGGGTAGAGAGGAGAGAGCAGGGAACTTAGAGCAAGTGAGGAAATACTTGTGAGTATATCACAGACAAGAAGATCAGGGGAAGGGGCAGGAAGACCATTAGAGAGTGCTAAGAAGTGAGTGAGGCTGGAAGTCGTAAGGGTAAGAAATAGTGGAGACAGTTCAGGATGGCGGTGTATGCGAGATCTATAGGGAGACAGACGATAGAGACTGTTTTGCAAAGGCTAGGCTCTGAATTTTGTCTAGTTGGCAACCAAATACTGGAAAAGACTATGGTCATGCTCATATCTGTTTTACTGAAAGAAACTGGGTGACAAAGCAAGGGCTGACTGGAGAGGAGAGAGAGTAGATTTGATGGTTTGTGGGGAGAAGAAGAATGAACAGCACCATGATCTGGGACAGGACTGCCAGGGTGAGTTGGGGGTAGGGATGAATATATAAATTTGGGAGTCCATGCCTATATAGAAGTGAAGGAAAATTACATGACTCATACTGGAAACAAATATGTATTCACAGAAAACTATGCACAGGACATTAACTGTACCAGACTTGAACTGCTTAGGAGAGAATTCCAATAAATATAAACACATTTTGAAAGATCTAAATGTGAGAGGGAAACAGAAAAGAAAGGCTTATGTGGAGGGACATGTTTAGTTGCAAATAATAATGTGTCTTAACCCTAGGTGGTGACAGAAGTTACAGCATGTTTCTGCAATGTTTATCCACATGATTATCATGCACTTGATGTGTGAGCTGGTTAGCAGGGCACAGTCAATCAATCAGCAAAGGAGACATTTGATCAGAAGGCAGAGGAAAGAACCATTGCTACTCTTAGGTGTATCTAACCAGAAATGACTAATTATTATCTAATGACTTCGATGTATTATCCTGATGCAGTTTTCTTCTGCTCTTTTTTTTTTTTTTTTTACTGTTTGGGAATGCTCATGCAGTTTTGTCTTGAAGGGTGATTTATTTGTAACAGACTCACATAAGTCAGTGATTTTTCTTGCTGCGTTCCTTCAGTTATTTGTGGTTCTGTCCAATGTGTTTATGTCTTTGTCTTCAGGAACAGTAAAGATATATACCCACACTGACAGAGCAACATGTATTTATTTTTTATTTAAACAGTCCAAAGACTCTCAATCTAGCATCCACTATCTTGGCACAAGTGTTTCATGGAGTCTTTCTCATTCTTTCCTGTGGTATAGCATCCTATAAAATTCATGGTTAGTATCTACTAGTAAATATAACTTTCACTGAATGTCATTAAATTAGATTCATAAAGGCACAGGACACATAGGACTTAATATTAATAACAGTTTGAGCAAAAGCAAATTTTCAAGCGTTACTTTGGGAGATTTTCATTGTGAGATGAATCCCTCATAGCTCTTGGTGCTATGCTTTGCATGCAGCAGGTGCTCATTAAATATTAAACTATTGAAGATATTAGATGAAGTTATTTTAATATCACTAGGGACTTCTGGGGAATCTGCAGATGGTTGGAAGAATGCCCCAAGATATGGTAGGACTCAATGAAGAACTTTATTAAATAAGTTAAATAATAAGCCTTGAAATCTGTACTTTTGTAGGGAAACTTCTGCAGTTTCAAGAAAAATATTACATTGTCTATTCTAGCTATATTTAAAAGACTCAGAACACTAAGGATTTAAATTTAAGTTAGCAGAAGTTGGTTTTAAGGCCTGGGGATGTGGCTTGATATTATAGTGTGTACTGAGCATACAGAAGGCCCTAGGTTCAATTCCCAGTATCTGGAAGGAAAGTAAACAAACAAACAAAAACAAAAAAAAACAGAATTTTTAAAAATTGTCACCACAAATGTTCCTAGGTTGCAAAAGGAGGCCCTTTACCAACCTAATGTAAGCACTGTGGAGTGAGGGCACTGAGAGCTGGCCCTTACCAGGGACAGAGTGAGGCTAAGATAGGTCTGTCAATGGAGACTGAGACAGAGTGCTTCAGTGGGAACATCCTAAGATGTTCTTACTAGAGCTAGCCCTAGTAAGTAGTGTTACCAGCCTTTAGAACAACCTCATATGGTAGGACTTTTTCTGCCCCTGTCTTTCATTTGACTGATGAGAATGTGATTATAAATTAGGGTGTTAACTAGGCTATTGGCATAAGCTGTTAGAGGTTTGATATTTGAAGAGACAAGCTCTTCCACATTTCCCGCATTTCCAATGGTGGGAATAGTCACTGAACAGATACATTTTTAAGCAGATATGAGGATACCTGGAGCAACATTTATTGGCAAGGTCTTAGAAGCTCCAAAATACTAGATTTATCAGTGACTGAAGCTGTCTAAGTCTTAAGTCCCAGGTTGGGGACAATATATGCCTATCTAAAGGGGAAGAATGACTCCAATCACACAACTCTAGGGAGATGGAGTTGAAGTAGCAGAATAGTGTGTATATTTTGT